AAGGAACGGGAAAGGGAAAATCACCGCGGCTGTTGGAGCGAGCCAGGGTGAATCACAGCTCCCACACACACAGATGACTTTCATTAGGAATTCACCTTCCCAAGGCCTTTTGTTTGGGGTTTTTCCCCCCCTGCTCCGAGCCCGGGGGGGGGAAGGTGGCAGGCCTGCACCGCCACCGGGGAACGGGTGGGGGGTTCCCGGGTCGGGGATGCTCGGCGGGCGATGCCCCCGGGCAGGGAGATACCGGCGAGCAGGGAGACAGCGGCGGCCACATCCCACCCTCCCCAGTCCTTCCCCCCCCTCCTTCCTCCGCACCACCAGCTCCATCTTGGCCTCCGCCGCGGCCGGCCCCGCCGCGCTCACCTTGCGGCCGCGGGCGGCGGGGGCCGCGCAGCCCGGGGGCGGAGGGCGGCGGGGCGCCCCGCGGGGGGCGGGGCGGCTCCTCGAGGCCTCGCGCGGGGCCCGGTCGCGGCGGCCAGCGGCGCGCTTCGCCCTCAGCGCCGGTGCCGCCGCCGCCGCCGCCAGACACCGACCGGGACCCGGCCACGGCAGGGGGCGGCGCCGCGCACTGCGCATGCGCGCCGGCACGCAGCGCCCCGCGGCGCGGGCACGAGGCCGCGGCCCGCGGGTTTGGGAGGGTGGGAGGGGGTGAAAGCCGGGGGAAAAGGGGGGTGGGAGCGCGCGCGGGGGGGGGATCCGATGGAATGACGGAGCGGTGGGAAAGTGGAAAGGGGGATGAATGGGCAAAAAAAAGAACTTCCCTGACCGGGAATCGAACCCGGGCCGGGCGGTGAGAGCGCCGAATCCTAACCACTAGACACCAGGGAGTGATATGAGGATAAATTACTCGCTGCAGTTCAGACGCTGCCGCCGCGGCCGGATATGGACACTGATACCGGGAGTGCGGCAGAACCGGGAGCCACGGCGGCACAGGGACCGGGAGCCGGGATACAGGGACCGGGGGCTGCAGTGCTGGGACCGGGGGCAGGGGCTGCGCTACAAGGGTCGAGGGGCTGTGGCACGGGAACCGAGGGCTGCGGTGGGACGGGGGGCTACAGCGGCACAGGAATCAGGCTCTGTGACACAGGGACCGGGGGCTGCGGTGAAAGTGTCGGGGGGCTGTGAACAGGGACCGGGGACTGTGACGCACACAGGAGCCGCGGTGATGGCGGTACAGGACGGGGAGCGTTCACGGGGATTTGTGGGCTGGGAGCAGAGACACAGGGGCTCCGGTGGGGCCGGGGCCCGCAGCGGCACAGGGGACGTGCCCGGCACATCGCCCGTGTGCCGCAGGCCTGGGGGTTCACTGCCTTTGTGGTGCTGACCAGACTCTCAGCCCAGTGCCCACCCACCGCCCCCTGGTTCTACATATGGTTTGGGCATCACCTTCACCCCCTGCCCCGCTCCAGAGGGTCCCATCCTGGCACTCCACTGGCCCTTCCAGGCACCAGGAGCTCAGCACAGAGCCGGTTCCCTTTAGTGAACAAAAGAGTGCTTACAATTAGAGCAAAACAGGTTTTTTTAAGCTCGTGAGTCTGTTTTTCCCAGTTGCTCAACTTTCCTGGCGCTCCTGGCTGTTCCCCAGGGAAGGTGGCTGTTTCCCACTATTGGGTAAAAGCCTGACTTCCAGCCATCCAGAGCAGGTGACCTGAGTGCCAGTGCAGGGACACTCATTCCAGTTATCCCTCCCGTAGCTCCAGCATGGCCCTGCTGGCATTTGTGGCCTCTCGGTGCAGCCCTAATGGCCTTTCCCGTCTGCTGCCTCTGACTCACATTTTTAAGAAATGAACAACGATGGATCCCATTTGCCAACAGAGTCATCGCCGTGAATCATGCACCCATACCCTCTCCTTGCTCCATCCAGCTCCATCCCTAGCCCAGCTCCAGCACGATGCTCCAGAGGACTCTTGTGACCTCTCCTCTTCTGGAACACCAGCTACTTGAGGGGCTCCCCAGCACTGACCTTGCACGGAGTCTTTGCCCAAGAAGAGATGCTGAGCCCATCCCAGCACCAACAGGGATACAGCAACTGGGTCCAGGCTGGCAGCCCAGGGCTGGTGCTTGGCTCTGGACACTACCTGCTCACAGTCAGGGATGAGCACAGGATCCCACTGATGGAGTGGTTGTGCAACCCCTCTCACAAGCCTAAATGTCAAATTCCTTAAAAAATGTTGGTTGCTGTTAAGGCTGAGGGTCGGGACATAGTGCTAGCAGGGAAAAGTGGCTCCTTCCAGCTTTTTGCAATTGATTACTTTTTGATTCTCCTGTTTATTTGCTTGTCCCACTTTGTGGGATGGAGCAATACGGCTTCCCCCACCTTTGACACTCTGGATGATGCGCCTGCACCTCACACTCCTCTGCCCAAACTGTCCCATCTTTGGGCATAGGTGCTCACCCTCCCATTTACAGTGATTTCCTTCTGATGGCTCTGGAATTCCAGTGCCCTGCACTGGACTTTCCCAAACTCTCCTTTCCTTCCCAGCCACAAAGGAACACAGGGGTTTGCACCCACAAGAGCTGCCAGGAGCACACTTACAAGCCAGAAAGTGACAGAAACCCTGCCAGGCCTGTAACCAGGAAGGGAAGGTTTGATTATCCTTCCTGCAAAACACTCGAGATTCCTTGCTGGAAGGGACTGGGGAGGTGGAAAACATCCCTGTGCCCCTGGGGCTCTCACAGCTCCAGCTCGGCAGCCTGGGCATTCCTGGCAGTGTCTCTCCTCCAGGATCAGATCTCGTACCAACCCCTCTGCTCTTCACCCCAGTTGCAGAGGTGTAGTTTTACGTACTGAAGTCAAGTAGTAAAAAGACTCCCAACCTTCAAAACAAACACCCAAACCCCACAAAACCAAACCCAAGCCCTCACCTCCAAGCACGTGCCTCAAGCCTAGCCAGGCATCCTTCCTCTGAAAATAGCACACCGAGGATCTCTGCTGGCCTCTCTCACAACATAGTTGCCTGCTCTCCGCTGCCCTTTTAAACTTGAGAGAGAGCAGCTCCCAGCTCCAGCCATCCATCCACTGCTCCCCCTGTGCCGTGTTGTTTGACTGCCAGAGCTTCCATGGAGGCGACGGATTCCCTGAGGTATCACGCCGGGAAGCCGTGCCAGCACCACAGCTGCAGCTTTTCCACATTAGAAGTTTCTCCAGGCTCAGCTCCCACTGCCAGGGTTACTGCTGGGACTGCAGTCCCACGCTCCCAGCTCAGGAAGCTCAAGGAAGCTCAGGAAGCTCGAGGTTCACCTGCAGCACCAGTGGCAAAGGGAGCGAAGTGATGGAGCTTGGGGCTCCCCAGCCCAGGGCACAGGCACGGCTCGGGAACCAGCTTGGGAACCATGTCCTGCATCTTGAAAAGGAAACATCAGACTGTAAATATTATTTAGTATACGTTCCTTCATGAGAAAGCATCTGGAGAGCTGACAGACAACGAGTCAGAGGGATAGAATGGAATATTTCAGTTGTTTCTTGCCTCAGGCTGCTGCAGGCAGTCGGTATTTACTTGACAAGTTCATAACAAGCACCCAAGAGCAGAGGTCGGTGCTGTTAGACAGAAGAAGACAACGACATTCACCCCATTTTCTCCCAAAGGAATCCTTTATTGACAAGTTTCCTCAATCTTTATCTTAAAGAGAAACAGTTCCATACCCAAGCTCCCGCAGTCCCCGTTTCACTGGCTCCGTTCCTCGCAGGGAGGCCAGTTCCAGTCAAACAAGGAGCGCCAGTGAACGACACTCTACACTCCACCTATGGCCTAGTACATCTGCCCACTATCATTTCATCCCCAGGTCTGCAGAGGGAGGGGAGCAGGGGTGGGGGAAATGGAGATTAATCAAATCAGTGTCAAAACTTGCTTCTCTAAAGGGTCAGAGACAGTTCAGTCCCTCCCGGGTGATAAACCACTAAAACTACCCAGATATGTACATAAGTCTAAAGACCTGAGTAAGTCCCACTTCGCCTCTAAGGCACAGATTTGCTCACTCTAGGTATTTCTATGTGGAGGCACTAGAATAAGATCAGGCCTCTAGAAGAAAACTTGGAATTTGTCAGCTCCTGAGCAATGAAGTTGGACATCAAAAGAGCAAAACATCCAGTCCCTGGGGGGACTGAGGGAGCTCCGTGACTCTCTGCCAGTTATGTAAACCAAAATTAGAGCTGGGGCTTTCAACTGAGAAACCCATCCAGTCACAGCCAGATGTACCAGCTGGAGGAGCCCTCGGAGAGCAGAGTCGAGTCCCTCCAATGGTATCCATATTCCAGCCTCCAGAAATTCCTCCTCCGAGAACGAAGGCATAAGCTGAGAAGGGAGAAGCAAGTTTCATACACTCGGGAAACAGAGTGCACCACTGAATTTAACACAAGAACTGGCTTTATAAGCATGCTGCTATGACTGCATGATGCAAAACTCCAGTGCTCAACAACCAGCTTTGGAAACCTTGCAGTCTTCTCTACAGAAAACAAATCATCAACAAGTAAAGCGTAAGTGATGTAAGGCTTGCAATTCAGCTTCAGAGTCCAAGGGAGCATCGCCCTAATATGATGCCAAAGCTTTTTTTTTTTTTTTTTGTCTGTTTTTAAGCTTTATTTCTTTAAAGTTCATTGCATTTAAAAATAAAGATTCTTAGTTTTGTTAAAGCTAGAGCATTAGTGTAACAACGAGGCAGCTGCTAAGTGAAGTTTCCCTTTTGGGAGCTCAGAAAAAAAAAGAAATCAACTGTTTACCCCGTTTACCAGGCTGCTCCAATGAGAGCCAGAGAAAACAGTAACAGGAGAAGCCTGGGAGCATCCAGAGTAGCTGCATGGCATGTCCCACACAGAGAATGGAGCCAGAAGCTAAAGCTAAGGTGCTTTAGCATGTATTTGGCTTCTCCAGTAACTGCTCTCCTTGTGCTTCTCAGGGCCACGATCTGCTCCAAGCTATGTCAGACAAGGGGAAACTGTTTTTATCTATAGCAGTTGCATTTCTGAGCTACTTTAAGGAAACTCCAGCTTACACGCTCTCCCAAAAGGACAGCAGTGATACATTTAATCTACAAACTTTAGTGTAAAATATTATTTGTGTACAAAACTTTGCATTCTCTTTATTTGACTTGGATCCAGCAGCAGTGTCTATGAATGAAGGATGGATCTCTCCTGACTGGCTCTCAGCCCCTTCTTGGATAGGCATGTTGTTGCTGTGGTGAAGGTTTGGGAGGGAGGGGGCTCTTCCAGTTGTGCACAGCCGTGCAAAGCCACATCCAGGTCTAGAAAGGAGCGTTGTCTTGTGGAGACTTGTCCCCAGCTCCCGAGGGGGAGTGCAGGCCATCAGTGCTGTTTTCCCTGCTGCCCACCACTCTGTTCTGGAAGGAGAGAAGAGAGTGAGGATAACAAGAAACCAGCACTGGGAATACCAAGTCAATTCCCCCCTGTCGAGGTCACCTACTGTAGCCAAGACTTCACATATCTGAGAGGCCATTTGCCCGAATACTAGTCTACAAGAAAAACATTGCAGAAATTAAAGTTTCTGCACAAGGTTTCATACTGTGGGTTTACAAGACAAAGCAGACTGTTACCTTTATGGTCCCAACTCTATCTTCAAAGGACTTGAAGGTTGCAGAATTCCTTGAAGAAAGAAGAGGGGGGAAAAAAAATCAAAACAACAAATCAAGGCAAGTTAGTTCTTAACCATATCAAATGGCACAGCGTGACTGGGCTCTGTGGCTGTTCCCCTGCAGTGACACCAGTACCCAGAACACTTCCAGCTCCTCACAGCCTTTGGCACAAATCTCTCGGGTACACCAGGCAAGAACACCACATACAAACTCTGGAGGAAAACATTTACACCACATGCAATCCACTCAATTGCTCAAGCTAGAATCTTGAGGGAAACAAGTCCTAGTTCACTGGGGAATCAAGGCACGGTAAGCAGAGAAGAAATCAGCTCTTAGTTTTACAAGGCTTCCAACTAAAAACATTTTGTTTTAAATAATGGAAAGGGAAAGCTGAGAAGAGTTTAAAACAAAGGCTTCAGCTTCCCATATCACATCCCGTGGGCGGGAAGGGGAAGGGCCACATGCCTGCACCTATCAGCAGTTTTATTTCTACAGGAGTGATCATTTACATCAGGAAATGATCATGAAAACCACAGTGTAATAAATTAATCAGAGCATTTTATATTTCTAGCAAAGAAAACCAGGTCAATTGTTTGACAACCCAACAAGCTGCTTTCTCTGGCAAAGGATTTCAGGGAGAGCTCTGTACTGAGCTTCCAGACCAGGCAATTACTCATAGTGCTGCTCCCCCGGGCCAGGCTGCAGGAGCGCTGGGAGATGACTCGTCTCATCTCAGTTATTTTTGTTCCAAGGAATCGCTTTATATTTGCAGCCATAAAATAACCTCCCTTGATCTGGAATGAGAATGAACAGAGAGAGTTTCTGTGGGCCTTGTCCAGCCCTGGCAGTCATTTCTCCTGCAAGGAGATCACCACCTAAGGCACCATGAGGGCAGGCTGAGAAGGGCACTGAGGTCCCAGGCTGGAGACAGAGGGTTCTAGTTAGGATTCATCTTAGTATTAGCAATGGCCATGTTGTACATTGTGAGAGAACTGTAATCCTGCCCTTCAGGGACCCCTGAAAGCTGCAAATTTCAATCGGACTTTGGTACAGGTGCAACACTGTGCTTAGTTCAAGAACAACACATGTGCTAATTAACCATAAGAGATACCAGGTAAACCCCCCCCCCAAAACAGTCAAACTGCAGGCTGTGGTTAATCCATGCTCGGAGCAGGGTCTGCTCGAGAAGAGAACCAGTTGTACAAGTCAGAACAAAAACCCCAGCAGCAATGGAGGCAGCTGTACCACCCCCCAGCCCCAGGCAGCAGACACAGGTACAGTGCTACGTTACCTCATGGCTGGCATACTTATGGAGTGGCGAATGGAGTAACTGCTGCTCGGAAGCATTTGGAATAAGGAGGGAAAAGTTAATGACAATTTCCCACTGACACCGTGCAAAAGCAGCATAACCCTGGGTCTGAAGCACTCACTGTCCACACACAGGCTGCTGTGGACAACCCAAGTGGTAAGAGTCAGCCCTCTCTCCCCTTATTTAACAGTTGCAGCCCAGAATTTCGTTTTCCAGATACAGGACAGTAAGTATTTAACTGCAACTGCGATACAAAAGTCAATCCCAGGGCATTGGTCTGTGGTAGATTTCTCAATCTGTGTCAAAAGTGTAGGCGAGGCTTAAATATCCAGCTTCCCCTTTAAGGTCTGCAAGGGCCTGGCACAGAAACAAATGCTCTTTTAGAGCCTTGAAGGGTATCTTACCTAAGGGAATGCGAGATGGAGTGAGCCCTGGGAGAGGCCACGGGCAGCAGAGAGAAAAGGGAAGCAACAGTCAGAAACTTGTGCAGAGCTAAACACTAAACGCAGGGACACGGTCACGGAATCATGGGACAGCAAAGTCAACTACTCAGGAGAAAACCTCTCAAAATAAACCACAGAAGCAAGCAAAAAACCAATGCTTTTCATTGACTCAAGGCAAGCAGAGATATTTTTCAAAGAGCAATAACAGCACCTCCAGCAACTTAGAGCCAGGGTGCTGGGGAGGGGAAGGAGTGGGTGTGCAACAGCAAAACAAAACATTTTTCCTATTCCTATCCATTGCTTTCACATGTTTGTTTTAAGCATTTTTTTTTCTAAACTGAAGGTTTTACCAAGCACCAGCTAAACTGGTAGAGATACCTCCTTCCCCCAAATCCCCCCATGGTCTCTCATACAAAGACAGCATTGCTTGGACTTCTGATGAGAACTTGTCTAAGGGCAACCTGCAATGGATACCTGCACGTTATCTTGCCAAGCCTGAAAATCATAAAGTTACAGCTCAGAGAACGAATGCACTGCAGCCTAATAAAGATAAGATTAAAGGTATCGTGTTTACTCCATAACCTGGTTGCTCATTTTTAGGTTGGGATTCTGCAATGCAGCAGCACCTCAGAACAACAGACCGGGGTTTTCTACTTCTATTAGTAAGATTACCAGGATGCTCTAAAGGAGCTTCTCCTGCCAGAGCAGTGTTTTATTCCACTTAAATATAACTATAACTTTTGTCTCTGCTGCAGGAAGCAGCCATGGCAAGCTGGATGTGAAGTACTTGGCAAGGAGCACAAGGGTTTTTCCTGACAGCCACAGTGAAGATGTTGGGCTTTGTGGTTTCATTTCCCTATGCATCCAAGTCGGTTCTTTGGCAGGGCAGACTCCTTGAAATGCTGCCTTTGCATGTGAAATAAATTAACTTTCTACTTACTATTGCTTAAAGGAGAACAACATAGATAACACATCCATGCACCAAGCTGCTCTGTAAGCAATACCACAAGCAACTGGTTCGCTTGTTCAGTATCTTGGCCTGGACCTTCCAGTAACCCTTTTCCTCCTTCCACAAGGATTTCAAGTTTGCATTGATTCAGGAATTTGCAGGTACTTTTGGGATCAGGCTAACATTTCATAATTAATTCGCTTGTAGCATTACAGACAGCAGCAAAGTTCATCAGACAACGTGAAGTGCATTGGTGGACACAAACCCACGCAGCAACAAAAAGAAAACACTCCAATTCTGCAGTTTACTGGAATCAGTAAAATGCAGGAACAAAATGTCCAAAAGCCAATTTACTTTTTAACCGTAGGTGGAGATAACAGAAAAGGCTGAACTGGCCAAGATTTGAAAAAATCCAACCCACTAAGGTACATTTTCTCCCCTCAATCCAACAGAGCATTAATGCAGTAAGCACACGGTTACAACATGAACTTCACAAGGTCTCCTTACAATCCACACCCAGAACATCTAAAATTATTTTGACCAGAATACAGCAACCCTAAAGATTTAACCCAGGGGCACGTTGCTTGTATATAAGAACATTTTGGCCCAAGCATTTTTAATGGAATTACGCCCACGCCCTCGGTGCAGCCGAGGCTCTGTCCCATTCATCAAGCCTTCCTTGCATTTATCAACCAGTGAAGGCTGACTAAACAAGGAAATCCCTTCTGTTATCTCAACACTTCCAGTGGTGGAAAATAAACTTGCTTTACAAGTGAATTTGTAGTGCAAGAGGGGAAAAAAAACCCTGAGTACAGTAATGGAGGTTGCAGTGTAGGCTACAAGGCCTGTAATGGAGATTCTCTGGGAGCAGAAATCATCCCACTCGTTCAGAGCAGTGATCACAGCAATACAACAGACTTCACTCCTCATCGGCTCTGATCACATACCAGAACACCAGAGTTTCACCTGGCAAAGGTGAAAAGTGGGACAGTTCCTGCAAAAACTTATGCTCAGAGTTAAACCTCATTCAGAATCAGAAATAGGAAGACTTGGATGCAGCACAGGAGACGGAAGTCTGTTTATATATGCAGAGAAAAACTGAAAGTCTTAAAAAAAAATCATTACTGTGTTCCCCCACAGGGCCACAAATACAAATCCTGCTGAAATAACTTTGGCAGGGATTCCCAAGTGATAAGACAGAAGCTGCCTCTATTTCATAACACCTCACCCAAGGTATTAGCTATAAAAAGGAATGCAGATGTTTAATTTAGTGGCTGATGCCGTGCAAAACCATTGCTGCAAAGGCCTGGCTCGTTCCTAGGCCAGCTGATTACAGAGCCAATTTTCACAGTGACTGTGCCAGGCCAGCTCTGTCACCAGGAGAGCAGCCTGGAGTCCCCTCCCTCCATCATCTGTTCCTGGGATGGCACAAACATCTCTGCAGCTGCATGACCTGCATTCTCCCAGCTAAAAGAAAACAGGCAGGACCAAGCCTGTCAAAACAGCTCCTGCTGATGGCAACACTGGTTCACGAGTTCCCCGTTTGGTCCCAAAAAAGCACTGTTCCCATCCCTTTGCTGCAACAGCCTGGCCTGACTGCAGAAGCCAGGCACCAAATTTACTTATCAGTTTGGCAAAATGTGTTCCCACCACATCTTGTGCCAGTATCTGCAATCTGCTCTGATTACATGAAAATATCTTCTTCTACCAGACTAGGGAGTTTCCAGGAAAGAAAAGTTACAACTTGAATGCTAGAAAGGGTAAGGAGCCAGCTAGTCCTCTGCCAAATTTAGATGTGAGCAACTGAAAACACCAAAAAATACCCTCCAGGAACACAGTAACCAACTCATTGAGGACAGAGTACTATGTGATCAGAGGCCAACAAGTTCTTACCACTTGGATACTCACAGCCACAGTGGAATAGGAAATTCCCTACAAAGAATGACAGCTACCCATTCAATCCAAGGTCTGATACAGCATGTTAAATACAAGCTCTAAGAATCCTTCCTTATTAACCTTGATAGGCTGTATATTCAGAATTAACTCTCAAATCCAGGAAAACATGGTCAAGGGATTCTTCATGAAAAATTTGGATGTTGCCACTAGTGGGGCTCCAGCTTAAAGTCCTGAAGAGTAGGTAAATCACCAATTTTAACCTTGAACTTTGTACAGCTGAGAATATCACAGAGCAAGAACCTCAGCCAGGGGAACCAGCCTCTCTTCCCAATTTGGAGAGGTTTAAATTTGTGGTTACTCCAGTGGTCATCCGCTTAAGATGAATCGAGATAATCACCACCCACAGCAACAAATTTTTAATGTTGTCATAATCTTCTGAATCAACTGGTATTTTCCAACCAACATGATATAACTGTGCCTGGAAGACATGCTGCCCTTTCCCACAGAATGTCAGCACACGGGGCTGGAAACCACATGGAATGCAGCATCCAGACTTTGCCCTGTTTTAAATCATAACAGAGCACAGGAGGGATGACCCCTCTCTAATCTGAAAAAATAACACTGAGAAAACACACCTCCATAATCCAGTAAGGAATGGAAAAGGGAAACTTTAATATTAGTTTTGTACATATGACATAAAATCTGCAGAGAAACCATATGACAGTAAAAGGGGGAAGGCTTCTAAAAATGTTCAGGCAGTTCTCCTAAACCAAATCAAACTTAAATGCCTTAGAACAGGCTTTATATCACCAATAACTCTTTGATAAGTGTTTAATCTGTCCTAAACTACAATGCACAGGGCCACACACAGGGGAGTAGTACATCAACAGCAGTGTGCTGCCAACTAAGCAGAAAAATGAAAATAAGCCTGGTCATTGTCTAAAGTCTCATTCCTGTTTGAAACCAAGATCAAAGCACTGGAGTGCAAACCAGAAATCTTACCTCATGTCACCAAGCTTCCTGCTGATAACAGAACCTACATTGGAAAGGGCTGCTGAAGTCTTCTGTCCCGCCTGGGAAAGGGTTTCCTGGGTCTTCTTGTAACTAAGTAGAAAAAAACATCATAAATTGAACTACTGGGTCGAATCTGAAAGTGTCCCCCCCAATTTTGAAAAAGGACCCCGTATTAAAGCAAAGAAGCTAGATTAGTGAGCTGCACTGACTTCACTGATTTGCATATATTCAAATATTTGAAGTTTTTAAAAAAGCTGGAAGTGTAGGATTAACCTTTCCATACACTCACTTTACCATTTTGACTGTATGTTCTTAAATCTGACATAAACATTTGCAAAAAAAAGCAAAGCAAAACCAGCTTTCCATGTGGAAGCTGTAACACCACAGCATTGTAGCCCAATAGCTCAACTATCTTTTGGACTTCTTGGGAAAAATAAGTCTAGGAACCTATTCCATATCATCCTTGCAGCCTTGAGGAAGTTACAGCATTTGTTGTTGTGTTAGGTTTTGGAGGAAAGCGGCAAGAGGCAAGACCAGCATCACTATACAGAGAAGAAATGCAGGAATCAGCATTATCTCTACAACTGCAGTTTAGAAATAAATGGTAGAGAAGTTTCCTATCAGTTACCATTAACCACAGTAGGTAAGAAGTCTGACAGCTTGTATTTGTCAGCTGATTATTTGACCTTATACCTGAGATGGAGAAGACAGACACTTGAGAACCTTTGTTTCCCTCAGATGAGACTAATCTCTGGAACAAAGATTCTTTGAGCCACTTTCATTAACTGATTTCTCTCTAAACTGTTCCCCAGTTGGTGATTAACATCTAGATTCATGTCACTCTTGAAACTATAAAGAAAATACTCAGGCTGGAAAACAAGTTCAACATTTTAAGCCACGTTTTCTTATTCCAAATACTTCAGCTTGAGATTATTTTTTTTGCCTGATGAGGACATTTAGGAGAAGGGCATTATAAACAGCCTAAAGTTCTCTCATGCCTGAGCTCCCCTGGCTACAAACACCACAGTGACAGCTGACTTACTCACAGCTCCTTCTCTCCAGACAGAAGTGTGTGGACAGCACCACAGCACCCGAACTGGATTTGAGCCATTCCAATTACAACATGATGGTTTGTTGGGATTTTTTTTTAAGAACCACAGACAAGTATTTCTGAATAACAAATGCACACAAGACTTATGCAGAGCAGGGCAAAACTGCATCAGCTTTTCCTTCTCTCTTCCTGCTCCTAAAAGAGAATTCCTATAACCTACATATTTTTCAGACGAATTCCTCTTGAATCCAGAAGAACCTGCCTTCAGCAGCCAGGCTCCTCCCTGGCTGAGCCCTGTCATGGGATTTGATTTACAGCTGCCTAACAAATGTGGAAGACCTCGTGCTCACCAAAGTATGCAGTGCTGACTCTGGGTCTGTTGGGCACTCGGGTCCCAGAGCTCAGCACTGGGGAAGGGTTCACAGCCTCAAGGGACACCATCACACCATGCACACGCTGCAAGCTTCCAGGTATTATGTCCAGCTTCAGCAGATAAAGACCAGAGATTTTCCAACTGAATTTTCCACACCTGACAGCAAAATTTCTAATATCATTGAAGATGGAGCACTCAGGTGCTGCTGCTTCTGCCCCAGTTTGCTCCTTCCTCCAGCACAACTGTTTGTGCTGGCACAGCAATCTAGATCAAGGAAACTGCCTGGATTAAACATAAACTTGGAAGAACAAAAAAGCAGCAGCTGGATCAGATGGCCAGCCTAGTCCTGCATCCACAGCTCCCACACACACGTACACATCTCTCCACTGCCAGGCAGGAGGCAGAGCCAGGGAGGCACAGGGGGATGAGAAGCTCTAACCCAGAACTGCCACCAGCCACACATGTGGAGCTGCATCTGTGACAGCCAGGGATCAGCTTATACAAGACTTTAATGCAACTTAACTACGCCCAGCCCTGACCTAGAAGTTGCAACTCTCCTCCTGCAAGCACCATGGCCAGGTTTTCCATGGGTTTAAATTCACAAGCACTCACTTTCTTCCCTTAGCACCAGCACAAAGCACAATGGAATAATCCAAATCTGTGAGTAATAAATATAAGCTCTGGTTAATACCCTGCTTTACTAACAGGCAATTGGCTGCAGCACAAGCTGCAGAAATGATCTCTGCCCTGTGCTATTCATCCCGTGGTATTTCAACATTTCATTGCACCCCTCTCCTATAAACCCCACAGGGAAGAGCAAGACCTGCCCCCACAAATCCTCCTTTATCCATTAATAGCAGCTTCCTCTCACTTGCTTTTATACAGCAATCTCCATTTGAGCTGTCTGGCTAAAGACACAAACCATCTAAGTCATCTCATGCCCTGGCTACAGTGAAACCGGATCTAGGAACACACTGGGATGGTTTTTGCCCTGTCTATGCAGAGGGCAAGTCTGTGGCCAGGATTTGCCACTACCAGGAAATTCCACAGCACACAAAAGCACTGTGAGGTTGGCAGTTAGGCCCAGTCTCAGTTCAGTCCTGTTAGTTACAATGCAGAGTAGCTCTGAAACAGGAAGGACGATTCATTTGCATAAAAACCCCAAAACGTATGAATAAAACCTCATCCTTGGGCTTCTTGAACTTGCCTCTTTGCACTTGCTGAACTTCAGACTGAGAAGCAGAAATTCTGATTGATTTCTGAAGCACTGCTGGAATTTCACCTCTCAATCCCCCTCACCTCTCCATTTCAATCAGCCTCCACCTTGCCAGCACTGACTGTCGCTGCCTAGTGCCAAAGCAAGCAGGAAAACTAACGTGCCCCAGCTATTCAGGCCCTAAGTGCTCCACAAAAGCACGTTTCCGCCACATTTCTGGTGCTTATGAAGTACAAGGAAACAGATACAACCAGAAGTTTTCTATTCTAGCAGGCACACCCAGGGAGGAACCCTGATTAAACACCCCTGGACTCAGCCACACTGTCAGCAAGCATAAAAACCAAGGTCATTCTACTTAGCAAGTGAAATACTGACAGTTTACAGCTTCTTAATCTAGAAAACACACAGGGAACGTTGAAAGTAGACCTGCATACTTGAAAGTTTTTTCTGCTACTCCTACTTTTTATCTCTGCTCCTCTTTGAACCATCTTAGGAAGAAAACTGTCTATTCACACACAACGGTGATAACCAGCCAGCTTCAAGGACTGCATTTCATACCCTCTCCAGAGAACAGGAAAAGCTGGCTCCCACTTAAGACCTACCTTACCATGGTTTAAATCAGCTCAGAAAACAGTGACATGACCTACCTGCTCCCACTGCAGCACTGTAAGGGACTGCCCTACATACTGTGGGAAAGGCACAGCAAGAAGGACAAAGGGCTACTTCCTTAATATCCTTCCATAATTTAGTCCAGATGAGAATTTAATTTCAGGCATTTAATAAAAACATGGCTAAAAGAGCTTTGCAGTCAACAACTGGAGTAGAACAGCTGTGAGGTTTAAGCTGGTTGAGTGCATTTGTGGCCCCAAGGTGCCAGAAGAGCTGCCCTGGACACTACAGCTCTATCTGTTCTCATCAGGTATCACAGCAAAAAAAAAAAATCCCCTGTTTTCTGCAGAGCACAAAAAGAGATCAGTTTGGTTATTCCACAGCTTCTCAGCTCAAGGTATAACCTGTGGCACACAGGTCTCACCTACCCAGGGGTTTCAGCTAGTTCCTGGGAGCAGGCAGGAATTTGTGAAGTATCACTTGGACTACAATGAAATAGTCTGAATATTGGCTTGAAGAAAAGCTCCCTCTCCCAGAAGAGGCATTTATTGGGTTAAAAAAGGGAAAGCTGGGAAAGACAAATGTCTAAATAGATCTAGTGAAAGCAGAGGACTGAGAGAAGGGGCACAGCATGTTAGTGGCAGCATTGTCAGGAAGGCAGTTGTTAATGCTGAAGGTTAAGACACTCACGCTTCTGATTGAGTTAATTTTTCATTCCAGTCCTCCAGTGTGCTGCTGGCTGAAAGATATCTACAAACACAATGGAGGTTAGAGGCAGCACCAAGATTCATTGCAGATGCTTCTTTTGATGCTTTCCACATTATTAGTGACTCTTTGCACTTACAGTATCAAGGGCTTTACTTCTCTGACAACAGCTTCAGCCTCTCTGTTACAGCCAGAAGGAAAAGAGCTGTTTGAGAGGCAGGGAGACACCTAAGCCCCAGTTTCTTTTATTTAAGCATGTTCAGACACTGAGCACAAAGAAACAAAGCCTGCAGTTCAGAAGGTGTCAGGAATTGAAAGACTTTGCATCTTCTGCTCCCTTCCTACATGCTGTGGCAGCTCTGTATTAAAAGCACAGAGCAGTGAACTGAGCTCAGGGCCAAAAAACTCTGCCTGCCACACACAAAGCTCTATTTTACCAATACAGCGTGACCTGGACAAACACTCAAAACTTTTGTTTTCTAATATTTAGAAATCATGTTTCTCTACCCACAAAACAGTACCTTAGGGGTTGTGAGAACTAACACTGGGGGTACAAAACGCACACAAGCACTACAGAATGTGGCTGTTCCCAGCTCAGACAGCTCAGAGGTGAGATATCACAGGCAGTTCACATCACTCAGAATTGACTTGCTCCAACTAGACCACTGCCACCTTGCCTAATGATGGGATGCTCCCAATCCACATTTTCCTCTTAGCTAAATCATCATCTCCTTCAACAGAGGACAGAGAGAGAGAAACTTCAGTGCAGAAAACATTAAAGGGCTCCCATAGGTTCAGCTACGAAGCAGGAATCAATGATTCGTGTCTAACATGAACAGAGGTCTAATACAATTAAAGAATATCTTCCAGAAGCAGAAGTAGCCAGATGCTCTTTGTCTGCATTTGTCACCTGCTCGGATATACAGAAAAGACTAAAATTCATGGCTTTCTAGTGTTGACACCAGGAAAAGGTTCACACATCAATGCAGAAGATTTCAGAAGCTCATGAACACGCTGGCAGTTGCACAGCCCCTATTTCCAGCTACAGGGAAGCACCTCCAGCCCCTTCCCTCCCAGGTGGCCATACAGAAAGGCAACAGTCAAACCCATTCCTACCACATCTGATGATGAGAAGAGAAACGGTTTCACAGTAAAGATAGAGGTTCACTAATAAGACATCTGATAACACTACACTGACCTACCAATTACCAGCTGAAAGGAAACTGTGGTTAAACTTTTGTCCCCTCTCTTTTTTTTAGATAAAATGTGGTCTGGTAACTGATTGGAATTTTGCTTCTGCAACAGCAAGACCATGAGAGAGTTGATGGCAGTAACATTTACTCATCTCCTCTGCAACTGAGGGATGTTTCTAGCTGGAAGCCAGGCATGCTGGAAGTAACAATCCTGCTTCACCAGGCCTCCAGCTCCCAACCAAGCCCTGATGCCTGCGAGAACAAGGAGCAGCACAAATCGGGGAAGGCAGCAAGGAGGCGATGCTGAGGAGCCCGAGGCACTCACAAGTCAGACTGTGTCACTTTGTCATTCCACTCTCCAAGTTTCTCAGATGTTTTCACATAACTAGAAACAGAAAGTGTTAATGAATATAACTTTAATATTCATTTTTTTTTTAGAAGACAATGACACAGATTTCAGTGACAAAGGAATAACAGAAATGGGGCAGGGATGGAGGAGGGAAGATGAGGAAAAGGGAAAGAATAAACAGTGAGATGAACAGCTCAATGATCTGCTCTGCAGTATCACTGTCAGTAACTCCAAATCCCAGTTAGAGGAGACTTTTTAGCCTGAATGATGCCTCTATGGGCACCCAGAATCCCTGACACCCACTGCAGGGTCAAACTTACCTCTTGGACTCTACTTTTGGGTCTGTCAAGCACAGCAGTGACCGTACCCTTAATACCTGTTCAGGAACAGTCAGTCTCACTTCACATCTTCTTTAGGCAGAAATGACTCTGGCAATGAACACTAATATCACAGATTTTTTTCCTAAGAAATGCAGGCTTTTAATTCAGGTTGTCTGACCCAGGAAACGCTCTGAACTGTGCAGCACAGCTGTGAAACTCCTGGCACTTCCCTTTGAGCCTGAGTTCAGGGCAAGGTAGCAGCTGCCTCTGCCTCAAAAAATGGGCAGAAATGGCCAAACTGGACTGTTTAAGTGATGATCCAGATCTCTAACCCCACGGGAAAGAGCATCCAGCAACAATTTATGCAGATCACACATACAAAAATTCCATTTCCGCAGACAAAAAACAGCAATGATTTTTTTTAAGTGCCTTTTACCCTACATACCCATCAGAGGAGAAGGAAGAGCTCTGAAATACACTGCTGGGAAGTGTCATACATACTCTTATTTAAACACATGTGCATCACAAGCAATACTTACGCGTTGGAGACTTGGACATCGTGCCAGCTTTTGGACAGGTTTTGCTTTAACCCATCCAAGGGAGTCAGACCCAGCTTCCTCTTCAGCTCTCCACAGTGCCTCTCTTTAGCTGCCAGAACTTGCCTGAGAGTACCAATTTCTTCTTCAACCTTAGAGAGAGGCAGAGGTTTGCCTTAAATCACAGTTTAGGAAAACCCTGGAAATTAAGCCAACTTGTAAACATGAATTTTAAAAATTGGGAAGAACGTCAAGTGCACGAAGAGCAATTCAACTTGACATGAACTGTATTGGAATGGGAGGCTTACAGATCAAACTTCAACTGGGAAAACATCCATACAAGTCACTGGAGTGGTGACTTAGCGGCACAGAGATTAACAGAGCCCATTCTTTGTGTTGTAATTTCAACAGCAGATGCAATTCAGCTGCCAAACCTTATGAATTAAGGTTTTATCTTATGATTCTTTTCCTCCGATGTCATCAAAGCAAGTTTTTTTTCCTCAGAGATCTCTCTTGCAACACTTTCAAAGCACTCTGGAGCTGTTTCCAGGCAGAGAGGGTTCATTTCTACTTAAACACCAAGCTCTGTGTGACCATACAGAGCAGCAAAGTCCTCCCTTGCCAAAATATGCCAGTCAAAGAACCACCATGAGAGTCTCAAATGCAGGAAAGGACAACAAAGAAAGAGCTGCAATTATCTTCAGCCACGTTTCAGATAGAAATTGTAAACTGACCTTTAAACTCAAAAAGGTGCTCAGACTTTGGGGTATTACAGGACAAAGTCTCAGCTCTTCGAAAGCATATTGGCAACTATTTTTGGTGACTGTAAAGTGTAGTAAATATTTGAGAGAAAAAGGTAGGAAAAAGGCATATTAAGTGCTCCATTGTGTCAGTTTCCTAAGGAAAAACCAGTTTCTTTTGCATAGCATTTGCCTGAAGTGTTTTCCTGCTTCAAGTGGAGCTAAAAGCCTACACCAAGCTCAAGGCATCAAAAGCCGTGAGCTTTTCAAGCCCTATTTCCTTCAAGCCCTAAATTAGACTGTTCTGGGAAAGAGCAAACAACACACCAGAGCGTTTGAAGTATCTGCCAGCTTTGTGCCTTTTAACAATTCGCTGAGAGACCCAAAGGTAACACTGCAAAATTAAAAACCAAAAAAGACAACAACAGCAAAAAAAAAAAAA